TATTTCATCCCGATTCACAGCTTCTGTTGTAAACTGCACATCCCTTGGCCTCCATCCATTTAAATGTGGTAGACCAAAACGAGACCTAAATACAGTTCGTCACCTACTAAACAATTTTATAATGTTAAAATTTTAGCAGTGGCACAAATGACACTGCACAGCACTGGTTTTCCACCATGACAGCTCAAGGTTGCCCAAGCCCTGAAGGCTTTTGAGACTTCTGCCATGAATTAAGCACAATGTCTCAGCAGAGGAGCAATTTAAAGGAATTAAAACAGTTTCCACCAAATTCCCAAATAATCCTTCTCAAACAAGGCTTTGCCCTGGTAAGGCGACACAGTAAAGTGCCCAGGGGTGGGGGAAGAAGAGTTTGTATTTCTTACACATTCACCTGCCTTAGGACCAAAAAGGAAAAAAGACAGAAATAAACGGAAGAAACCGAACGTCCCTCTGGGTCTAGTCCCAATTTATCTATTATTTGTTGGTGTAAGTGCATTTTCAGAGGTTTTTTTTTTGTACCTGAATAGTCTCAGGCAAGATCCATGAGAATCTAACAAAGTTTTGGCATAGCAGTCTACAGCCTACAAAAAATTTTGGTTTTCAAGTCTTTCTCTACAAACAAGCCAGAAGCTGGCCCCTTCTCAGCTTCTTTTGTTACAGGGGGGGCACTGTGAAACTCAAGATTCTTGGATACTTACACAATATGAGCAGCTACAGCTTTGATTACAGCTTTCATGGCTGTCCTTATAAAAATCACAATGGCAGTGCTAACATGATCCAAGCAGCATTTCTCAATCTCTTTTAAAAGAGCAAAGGGACATCCAAACAAGAAAACAATCCAAAGACCACCTAAGCTTTTAGGAAACAAAAAATTCTAAGGGACCAACCTATGTAATAAAATGATAGTTTTATTTAAAACATTCAGAACATGAGGACACACAAGTTAGACATTTTCTACTTTTATTGCCCCTTTAGTACGTTTGTTTCCTCACTTGCATGTGTCTGAACGTTTAGATGACATTTTTATTGAGTTAGACTCCATTTTATTTTAAACTCTAGTTGCTCTGCTGACCACTTTCTGATGTCTAACAGACCCCTTGCAGGCAGTGGACCAAGACTGAAGCAAAGACACAACAGGATCAATCACAATCTGTGTTCCCATCGAAGTCATGTGACAATATATCGAACATTTTCCTCCATCAACTCAAGGAATCAAGTACTGCTGTTATTAAAAGTCTCAGAAGAAAGCATTTGGGATTTGGTAGGACCACAAAGACACGGCTACCTTGCTGCTGGCAGAGGTAATCCTCCTTCCTTGAAGCATAATACTGAGGTGACAAAGCAGCTCTCTTATTCTGCATTCTGCAAGTAAAGAATCTTTATTTCCTCCACATGTATTAGTGGTGGTGTTTGGTTTTGTTGTTTGTTTTTTTTTTTTAATAGAAGAATGTGCATACAGCTATGTGGAAAGCCATATAAATACTGCCTCTGCTGGCAGCAGGATTCTGAATGCTGTCCAGGCTACTCAGTGCAGTAACAGCAAGCATAAACTAAGCTGACAAGACCATATTCAATAGGACAAAAAGATCCAGAAGAAGACACTTATCTAAGATAAAACGTTAAAAGATTCTTTAAAAAAAAAAAAAAAAAGGGGTTACAAACCTCTGGTTCCCGCAGGCAGCTGTGACTGTACATTTGGCCACAAGAAGGTTATTAACACACAGACAAGCCTGTGTCCCTAACAGTGACAAACCCTCAGATCTAGGCCTAATGAGAGGAGCACACCATGAACTTCTCATCAGTCCCATAAGTGAGTGCTGTCAAATGCGTGCAATATTCAGCAACTCTGAAGTAAAGAAAACAGCAGGTCAACAAGATCAGACAAAAGGGGCCAGTGTGATCAACACCATCACCAGAATGTGTAGTCCTGGTTCTCCAGCCACTGAAATCCAGGAAGGTTACAAGAGTGCTGCTGAACAGATGACAACACTGTCCCAGATTTAAGGAAAAGAAATGGCCCCGTGTCAAACTTAAATTTATCATTTAGTTTCCGGAGGCAGACTAATTCAAATCAATCAAAAACAACTTACAGAAAGATACCACATCAAAGCTTTTGCAGGGCAAACCAGTTAAAAAAAAAGGGACAAAAGGCATCGTTAGTGTATTAGTTTTTACCAACTTGTACTGAGATCTACTATATATTATAACAAAAGAACTAAGTTAATAGTTAGAAAGCAATAAAAGATACAAATAACAGATTGCTGATAACTTTCAAGAGCCAGTGGCCCAATTTTCTGCCTAGGAATCCCATCTAAACTGGCACCATCAAGAGAAATGAAAAAGAAAAACTGTAAAGCCTTAGCTCATTTTCCTCAGTTTAATTTCATTTTTTACTTCTTTCTTTCCAAAAGACAACATTACATAGAAGAAAATATAAATATATAAACAAAATCAGTACTTATATTAAAAAATCCTGTCAGAAAAATAACTATTTTTAAGAGGTTTTACACAGTGAGATGCAAAAAATCCTCATCTTCTAAGTTATCCACTCAAAAGAAAAAAAAACAACAAAATACTATAGTTGACAGTTGAAGCTTTATAAAAAACAGATGTTCAAAATATACAATTTTCTCTTTCCAAGGTACAGAAGAACTCTTTCTCAGCTGCCTCTTGGAAGTTGTGTACAAGAACTGCAACTCATCACATCTCCAGGTGCACTCAACTGCTGGTTTTACTGAGGTCATACCACGATTTGTGCCTCTACCAGAATACAGAATAACAAAGCCAAGTATAGCAAGAAGGTACATAGGTTTTCTTAAGAATATATTTTGAAAATTAAAAAAAAAATTTTTTAAATAATCACTATACACAGTTTATAAACATGTGTATAGTGAAGTGAATATTGAATAGCCATATTCACTTCAATTTGATGTGATGATATTTTTGATATCTTTATTTTGATGACATTTACTTTCTTCTTAAAGTAATATTAAGCAGTACCTACATTACAATGTCTATTGGAAAAAAAATGAAATCTAAATAATGCTATACCAGCGAACAGGAGTAACAACAGAAACAGTCAGACTGGGAAAAAGTAGAAAATTAAGCACAGTGAATCCTGGTTTTGATTCAAAAATCCTGTTCTGATTACCAGAACAGAATACAAAGTCATGCTCTATATGAAGGATTTGAGTTTTTCATTAAACCTGTGAAAGGTACAGGAGACCAATTTTTAAGAGCAGATACAAGCATCTGACACCAGGAGAGCAAAGGACTACCTATGTAACAACCTCATCTATGCAAAGGTCCATATTGCATAGTGCCAAGAAGTACACGATACAAGAGATGCTGGCATTAATGGGTCACTTCCTTTAAATAAGTACCATCATCAGAAACATTTCAAAAGAGACAGAGGTGGGATTTTTCATACTGTTGTCTTTACACAAAGTTACACTTATACTGTCATTTTTACTTTCAAGTATCAAAACAGAATGTTGTCGTTTAAATGGGCAAGCTAAGAAACCAGCCGATGTTACAACAGACAAAAATTCCTAACTTTTGCTTCCACAGATGCTAAAAATTACTGTAAGTTAATAGACCTCAAAGAAATGACACTCAGGAAATAACGTATCAGCAATCCTGGCAGGCTTAAGAGTTGCTGGATCCATTTATTGCAGACCAGTTTCATAGAGATGAAGGTCTGAAGAGACCACTATAATGCCTATGTTGAGCCTCTGTATCTTACAAAACATCTGTAACATTTCATCGCTCAGCCCATAATAAGCCCAGTAATTAGGCTACAGTGTTCTGATACTGAAAAAACCCTAAGCTGCTCCATATGCAGCAGACGACCACAAAGGCAGAGTCATACACAGCAGTGGGAAGCTAATTACTGGCAAGATTAGACTTCATGATCCCACCAAGCTATTTATACGCTGTTATTCCATATAAATTCCTCTGCAGCACTCTCATGATCAATTTGATTTTAAGCACTTCAACAAACCCTGGCAACCAAACATTCATGAAAGAGTTTCTCATATCACTTCAAACAGCGACAAACATGACTTGAACACTGTAAAACACAGACAAGTCTGGGAAATTTAAGTCAAATTAATTTAGTTTAAAGTCAAAGATAAATTAAAGGCATTTTAAATTTTCTTAAATTATCCCATATAGAGGAATAGACGTGAAGACTTCTAATGGGCATGGCTAATCTTTAAAAGTTAAAAAATAGGAAGCTGATTCTTCATTTCAAAACTGAAAAATTAATTCAGATTAATTCCTAATAAAAAATCTAAACCAAGAAAGGAGTTTCTTACACTTCACTCAAGTTTGGCTTTGTTTTAAGGTAAAACCAAATGTACAAAAGAAAAAACACAGTAACACTCACTGAAGTAACAGGAAAGATGTTGGTGACATTTTAACCCTTGATATTCAAGCCTACTAATAAGAACCCCCCCAAAAAAAGTACGAAGAAAATAAGCAGCAGCAATACTGCATCAGTGCAAACAACAACAACGAAAAATTCAACTCAATTCTGCATAACAACTAACAATAGAATAGCAATTATGTTTAAACCAAAAACCTATGAAAGATTGAAATAGTTGGTTTACCTTCTCTATCTTCCACAGGCAACTAAACTCTCAAAAATCTTCTGTGTATACACAAGATGTCTTTTAAAAATGCTACTCTTAATTACACTACTTACAAAATTATTAATGCAATTAACCAAAAAGGAAACTAAACACAGTAGGAAACATTGATTTAAAGCAAAAGAAACAAATAAAAAAGGCACGAAGACAATCAGGTATGTACAGCTCAGTATCATGTTAACCAGGCAATGAGGCTCTAACAGACCAGCGAGAATCCAAACAGAACTTGCTTGTCTCACCATAAAACACACACCCAAACTTGAAATAAAGGTAACAGCTGTCTCAGAAAGATGGCACATCACTGCTACATGGAGTTGATCTATGAAGTTGTTTTCTTAAAATACTTACCACTAAATCCCAGTTATTTTGTTCAAGCAACGTTATAGCTTCATCAATATTTTCAATACCAGTACATGCCTAAAAAGAAAGAGCAGCAGTAAACAGAATTAAAATCATTGATCAAAATGATAGTATAAATACTTACAATTGAATAAATTTCAGCAGAATTACAATAAAGGTGTAGGTATTCCATTTCTGTTATGAGAGGGTAATCTAGAAATCAGCTTTCAAGCCTTAAACATCAAACTTTTGGATATAAGTCCCTGTTCCACCAGAGGATTCTTGTGTAACCTTGAGCAAGCCACCTAGGGAATCAAGACAAAGTAGTTATTTGTAAAATTAGGACAATAGTGCTGTCCCATAAAGGTGTTTTAAGAATTCCACATTCAAAATGATGAAACACTCGTACTACTAAAAGGGGGCACAAAAATACTCAAAATTATGTTTGAGATGGTTTAAATATTTTGTCTGAAGCCAGAAACCTATCTAGATCCTACTGCTGCAACCATCATCTTACACCCCCACTCTCTGGGTGTTACACAGTACAGCGTAAGAGGAAAAGAAGGTGGCAAGTATGAATTTTTGATGGTCAAAGTGCCAACTTACTACTGCATGTACAAATGGGCACACCTTGTGAAACTATTTCAAATGAAGACTATATAGTGTAACATTTACAATGTTATCCTTTCAGATAAAACATTTGCATTTTGTTCTAAGCCTATATCTGGCTCTACCTAGTTCAAGAATCTAACATAATAGCATTTCTAAAGTAGTGATAACTTCTCACAAAATAGTATTGTAAATCAAGCTTAATTCCAAATACAAGAGATCACCTCTACTCATCAAAAACCTTGGTGCAGCATCCTGCTTTCTTTTTTGATATCCATACCTTTTTGAATACTCAACTTCAGCAAGCAGAGCATTGCCATTCATTCTGCCATGTATTTGCTACCACTCACATTGAAGGGAATCAGAGATATTTCATCATGGGGAGAAATGGAAACAGTTAAGTTTCTTTCTGGAATTTCTCTTTCATCCTAATCAAAGCTACGTTCTGCATTGAAGCACACAAGAGGAATTCAGACTTTCACAATATCTGAAACATTATCATGTACCCTCTGCTCTACCACACAGTTACATAAAAAGTTTATACAAAGTTCATATAAAACTACATTTAAAAAATCCAGCCTTTCAACAGTAACAATACAGGGTTGGATCGTGGCAGCAAATAGATCAGTTTTCCTGATTCTAGAGATATATAGTCCTGTTTTTCCTCTATCTAGCAAGAGAAAGAGGGAGCTAGACACAAAACCAGACACTTTTTTTAATCCCATGACATAAAAACCCACCAGGTCATAACACTTTCCATGCTCTGACTTTTCTCCCAGTTTACAACAAAGTAATAAAGAATAGAAATCACAGAGAAATTCAAGGCCAGCTCTCTCTTCCCAAATTCAACACTGGAGAATTCCACACTTAGGAAGCATTACATGCAGCATGCCTACACAAAATGAACCAGTCTGGAGGACCACTGGGATCACAAAAAGACATTTTAAAGATTTTTTTTTTTGCCTGCAGAGGGGAAGCAGCAGTTTCTATTGATCCACAACGCTCTCATGACCAGATTGATTCCCTCTGGAACAAGACAGAATTTCTTCCATCACTCACAGCATGCTGTGTTAATACTGAGTTTCACCCACTCACATCTGGAGCGCTAAAAAAAATAATTTAAAAGATACAGTTTTGCTCTTCAGAAGAACCATTTTGCCTTCTTTCCCATTACTTCTTGCAGTTACTTCTGAAGTTAAAAACGAGACAACACTTTAACACACTCTCTAGCAAATACAAAGGTTATATACGCTTATGCCAGGTAAGCTTGAGCTCATCATTTCTGAAGTCACAGGAGGGTTCTTACTACCATAAACCTGCCACTGGAACTTAAGCTGACAGCTCTGCTGCAAAGGAGTCTTGCTTTGAGAAAAAGTTTTGCAGAAGTACCAACAGTCTGAGGTTCTGTTAACAGCTAAAGTGAAATACACTTCAAAATTTGATCATTACAGAAATAAAAAGTTACTATTTGGAACTTACCAGCCCTGCAAACTCTGCATGACCTTTGTAAGAACTAAGTTGTGTACCAGCCTACAACAGGACCCTGACCAACCCTGTGCTGTTTTCAACCTTGGGCTCAGCAGACAAAGTTGAGGAGACGTTATCAAGCATTTAGGGTTCAAATACCAGTTTTAGTTGTCCCCTCTTCTATATCACTGACTTGCAGCTGCCCATATGCACACACTCAGTCCATATTAACTAACAAATCAATTCAACTCTCTCTGGCATACTTTTATACCGAGATAAACTAAACACAATTAGCTTACCCTTCTTCCAGAGCACGCAGTGAAAGGAGTTACCTTGTCACAGCAGAGGCAAATTAATTAAGCAACTAATTCACTTGCATGCCTGTGTCCTTCCTAAATCATCTTGTTGATGATTTACAATCTAAATTAGAACCCTGCTCCTTCCCTCTTAGCAACACAGAGCCATTGGGGTAACAGGAACAGACAGGTATAAAGAGTAACTAAAAATTTTAACAATATCAGAATTCTTGAAAGCCAAAGAAAGCAGTTTTGTTGAAAACCCTCGGACCATTTTTACAGTCACTTTTAACATTTAATTTTGAGGAGTTCCAAAACTAAGATTTCACTTTCCAGATAGACTATTTTCGCTAGTTGTCAATAAAACTGAAAACAAACATCCCTGAATGACAGCAATGAATGAGTGCTACTTATCGATGTACAGACATTCCAAGATCCTCAACATCCAGTTAACATCACAGCTGCAGCAAACTAATGTTTTTCAAAACAATATTTCAACACTCAGGAGGATAATTGATTCAGACACCACATACTGCCATCGTGCAAGATGAATTCAAGAAAATCATCTGGTTTGCACATTTGACTGCTCCCTAAGAAGGTAAGCACACACAACAGGCAGTTGTCCCTTGCTGGCAAGTGTGATGTGACATCAAGGACTCTGGGAACCACAGATGAGTCCCAGCACAACATGGGCTGCTTCTGCCCTTGTTCGCTGTAGGGAAACACCAGCAGCTTCTCTGAGCAATGCCACCAACAGGGGCCACTTCCTCCTGGGTTTCTCTCCCATCCCTAACTGCAAAGGCTTATTTAAGTTTTTCCTATGGCTGTAATATTTATAAGGGCTTCTTTTGATGGACTTCTTTCCATATGACCTAGCTGTATCATCACAAAATTCGGAATAATTTAATTGCGATGAGTCCAGGTGACACCTGGGCTCTACAAGACTATACACCTTACTTATCTAGGAAGATGGAGCAAAAGTCACAATGATTGCTTTTTTACAATACATAAAGATTTTTTTGCTCATTGTTATGCCTTTCATTCTACCCAAGAAAGAAAGAAACAAAATAAATAGGAAAAAAAAATCATGTCAAATCTGCACAGAAACAGAACAGGAAAAAAGCCTTCAAAATAGAGGAAAGCAGATGAGCTCCAAAGATGCAAAAAACACATTGCTGTTACTAAGCAAGTAAAGTGATAGCGGTTAAGGAGAAATTTTTTTTATTCACAGATTTTATTCAGCTTTATTTTCATGAGAGACACACTTAATAAAAGGCACTAAATATTTTAGAAGACAATTCCAACCAGAATACTACTAACTCTTGGTTCAATCAACAACCTGCATATCCTCTAAGTCATCAAACTGAAAGAAAGAAACCATCACAGTGAAGGTAAAATCTTCAAGGCTCACTGATTTGTAAACTTTACCCAACATAAAGAAACCAAAGAATTTTTTTAAGGGCAAAGGTAGAGCAAGTTCCTTCGCCTCTTCCTCTCTGTGTTTCCTCTAAACCTAGGATAGCATTTTTGCCCTGCTTTGGAGACTGTGCAGTCTCTTCTGTTTTGTTTTGGTTTTTTGTTGCTTTGGGGTTTTTCAGGCCACACAAGAGAAAGGTGAACATGAAGATGCAAAAACTATCGCTTTGCACTGGATGCATAAAATCAGATTCTGAAAAATAAAGTTATTGAATATTAAAACTTTCTTAGCATCCTGTTTTTCCAGGCCAGGTAAGTATTTCCATCAGGCAGATTTAGATTTGCATGTAATAAAATTTCACAGCTTCTCCAAATTTTTTTCAGGTAGCTTTGCAGATGAACCAGCACCTTAGTGATGGAGAGTTTACCCCTGGAAAGACTCACAGCAAACTATGAGGGGGTCCTATTGAACCGATACAGTAACCTTAATCACTGTTCCATAAAAGCAGCAAAGTAGCCACCGAGGAAACAGTTCAGTAGGAGAAATGTTGCAGGGCAGACAGACTTCAAGGCAGGCAAGACAAACCTAGGAGGTGCTTCCAGAAAGCTGTAATGCAGGATGACAGACTTGCTCTGCAGGGTGGTCTGACCCCAGCAGCCGTAACAGCTGGATCTGGGTTTTGGGACCCTCTGTGACCCCCCGCCTCAACCGTGCAGGCTCCAGCCTACCTCCACATTGCAGGAAAGCAGCTGACCTCCCCATCTGGTAGCAGCTGCCTTGAAAATGCTCTCCAGCACCTGCTGTAGAGATCCAGGCAGTTGTTAGACAGCAAAGCTGGAAGGGACAACTGCTGCTCCCAGCACAGAGAGCCGGGCTGTTACTCCTGCAAAAGCTGGGAGAGCAACAGACAGCTGTCGCTGACTCAAATACAGAGCCAGGCGACTGCTGCCCCCACAGACAGCGGGTGGCAGTTGTTGCACAGAAGCTGGGAGCAAATGGTATTTGGCAGCAAAGCAGAACTTCTCACTTGTGGCACTATTCCCCTTCTCACCAAGGCAAAACACAGCAGTGCAAAGTATCCAGAAGACCACATTCAGCCCAACAGCCAGTAGCTGGGTATGGAGGACTTAGAAGTTTGTCTCTCTCAATGTTTTTGTTGAACAATTACGAACAGCAACAAATTCAAACAACTGATCTCCAGGGTACAGTCACACCAGTTGTCAACTACAGACTTTTTGCCCTCTTACTAAGATCACATCCATCTCAGAATAAGACTAAGCTATTGCAAT